GAAATACCTTCACTAATTCTAAGAATTAATCCAAATTCTGTGTTATGCACAATGAACCATGAAACACTACATCACAAACTAATGATGTAATGTATGGTGATTAACATAACAATAAAAAAATTTAAAGAAAGTAAAAAAAAAGAATTAACCCAAATTCTGCATTTTATTGACCATATTAATAAATTGAGTATTTAAAAAAAATTTTGGAGGGAGAGGGCCCGTTGGAGAGGGAGAGAAAGAATCTTAAGCAGACTCCACACCCAGCATGGAGCCCAATGTGGGGCTCAATCTCAGAACCCTGAAATCATGACCTGAGCTGAAATCAAGAGTTGGATGCTTAACTGACTGAGCCACCCAGGCACCCCATAAATTGAGTATTAAACAACATGATTTCTCTAGTCTTTTCAATATCTATATTCCCTATTAGATAATGCCAAAGTCAGTTGCCCAACAATATTTTGATGAGTGAATGTGAAGAGAAGAGCACTTTAGGATTCAGATGATCAGAATCTTAGCTAACTATTGGAAACAGCTGCATTTTAGGGCAGAGTCGTCTTTTTATTTTTTACTCTGGTTGTTACAACTAGCATCCAAGTTTGGGAGGGTAACTATTCACAGTTAACTTAAGCTGTCACTGAAATGGATGAAACAAAACTCAAACAAAATCGTAAGGGTATGTATACTAATAGAAAGTCTGCACTGTACTGGACCAGGATACCTGTGAATGGATCATCATATCTGATAAATGCCAAGGATTCTGGGAAATCTCTTTCTGTAGAATTTGCATGGCATTACCTTGGGAAGCAGAATATGAAGAGTTTTTCTATCCTGTATCCTGAAGTGGGAAGCTTCTACCCAAATACCCTGGTCACTGGGACCTTGAGTTCCTGTGTTTCAGGAGTTAACAAGTCAGACCTTCAAATTCTGGGGTTGCAGAAGAAATAGTACAAAACAATGGTGTTGGGCTTACCTTATGCACCTGATATATCCCACTCACAAATGTTCCTGGCTCCTGTGAGTAAAGATTATTGATTTTAGGAGTTGCATTTGCATTTTGGATCAGTCTGCTTGAGATTTCCATATTTCGGTCAGCATTGACATCAGACACACACGTGGCATCATACACCTCCAGGAACCCATTGCGACCATAGTAATCTGATATGGTGATGACTTTCTTTGGGATGAACTTCTCCTTCAGGCTGACATGAAAAACCTTCACTTGGAAGAATTGGCTTTCAGTAGCCACAGTGGCATGGAACATCTTTCTCTCTGCTTCCATGAGATCATATGTAAATGGTTCTGTTGCTTTCAGCACCATCACTTCCTTGGGGCCCTTCTGGAAACCCTCTTCTATGGAAGCTTCTCTAGGTACAGTCTTCAATCTTGGTTTCTACTTGGAAGTACACATCAAAAAGAGCCACAGTTAAGAAAGGGAATACACAGTCACTTTCTAGTGAGAGTCACCTAAGCTCAATGTTGAGCCTCCAGAAATACCTGATTGGTTAGATTTGGAAAAAAATGAGCTAGGCAGAAATGGCTGACCTGGTATAATGTAGCCTGTGAAAGACATGGAGAAGAGTTAAACAAAATTTTATTTATTTTCTTCATTGTTTTATGAGTTTGGGAGGAATAATATTTTTTCTTTAAATGTGATTAATCCAAGATAAACAGTATTTCTCCTAGGAGAGCTCTGTCGAGCATAGAGGAAGTGGGCAATAGCCATGTTGTCGTGGAGGGATTCCTGGTAGAGATGAGGATGAATATATCATCTTAATTTACCAATCAACTCATTTTAGTGAGCAAAGTAAGATATAGGGAAGGAAATAAACCATCCTAACATCACTGACAGTGGGAAAGTCTCCAGTCAGAAACCACCGATTTCATCTGGAATCAATCCCAGTAGATGTCACAATTGAAAGACGGAAACCACTAGCCCTTTTCCAAGAAGTACTGTGCTAAAAAGAGATTAAACAAGCACTGGAGAATCTCATGAACTTCACTAATTTGGAAATGCCCTGGCTCCAGGCTCTTGAAGAGTAGCAGAATGAGCCATCTGAAAATATGCTTCCTTGGCATAGAATTATTTTGAGCTGATTATTTAAAAAAAATAGCAGATATAGGAAAAGCTCTACAAAGAAAATAGAAATTGCCCTTTTGTAAGGAACATGCATTTGTAAGAGTGTCTCTCTCTCCGCCAGGAAGAGAAGGACAACTCTAAATCACAAGAAAATCTTATGATGAAAAATGACCTGACTGAAATCTGCATAACAAACACACTTGTTTATCCACTTTTCCTGGTAATCTCCATAAGTGGCCTCCACACCTTCCTTTCTCTTGTCTTTAAGCTGAAGATGATATTTTAGCTGGTGGTTTAGGCCACCTCGAAGTTACTAAATTTTCCCTGGTTTCTCCCAGGTATATATGAAGTATATATATTATAACAAACTTCTGCTTGTTTTTCTCTTATTAATCTGTCTCTTATTATAGGAGTCTAAGCCAAGAACTTAGAAGGGTAAAGGAGGAGAATAATTTCCCCCTTTACCACACTTCTCTGTTGGAATAATGGCAGGACCCTGAGGAGAAGGACATCAGTGGAGAAGCCAAGTGTCAGGGGAATTTTTCTGATAACCTGTCTCCCCAGTGGCCTGAATCACATTAAGAGTTTCAAGAGAGCACTTGGAATTGTAGGGAAGTATTGATATGTAAAAGGAAGTAAAAGAAGTATGAAGGCAAGGACAAAGGTGGGCTCTGGCGGTTTCAGGGTCAAGTACGAGGCCACAAGTTGGCTGTCACAGAGACTAGGATTGCTTCTTGTGATCCGACCTGGAAAACTATTATGAATCTACCCTGAGGCTCAAGGAAGCATATCTAATGGACACATGTTTTTCTTTTGCTCATTGCAGGTCTGAGGAATACTGGAAATAACCTAAAGTCAAATAATACAGAATTATTTTTCTAATTTATGGAATAACTGTGTAATTTCTCTTATACGTTAATATAAGAATTTAAATCTACATTGGTTGACTTAAATAGCACTTTAAGGCATATTAAGTGACAAAAAACCCCTCAAATTGGATTATAGAAAAATATATGTCATGTGACAAAATGATATTATTTGTACATACACAACAAAGGGTAAAATCAGAAAGACTATTTTCAAAATGTGACGTTTGATGTAAGAGAGATCAGACAGTAAAATTTTACCTATTTTTGTCTGTGTATCTCCATTTCCTAAATTTCCTAAGATAATATTATTTATGTAATAAAAAATGGGAGAGGAAGAATGGGTGATAATGCTCTGGTTGACTGTATTTCTACACCTTCTTCTACATAAGCGGTCTCTGTTGTGCATTGAGGGAAACACAAAAATAAAATCAAACAAATAAATGACCAATTATATCCCGTGTGGATATATGGATGATTATCTGTCCACTGGCTCTTAGGTTATTTTAATGCAGAGGGGGATATAATTAGAGTTGGAATTTGAATTTAGGTGGGATATTAAAATATATACCCAGTAAATAAATGAGTGATTTAAATAAAGAAATAATTGTATGCAGTTGGGGATTGCTAAGAAGCCCGTCCAGGGTTCCATTGATCCTTGTCATCAGCTAACAAGGAAGGGAAATACTGGAAACAGGCACCTTGTACCTTGGTTAAGGAACTGCTGGATTGGGTTTTTGGCAGCGTCTGCAGAATGCAGGGAGAACTTGCACTTGGGCATGTGCTGGTTGCTGAAGGTTCTAGAAGCTGACTCTGTTCCTGGAATACCTGCATCTTTATGGTGTCATCAGTTTTGGTGGTTATATCATCTCTTCTCCGTAGAAAAATAGACTTTTGTTCTTTTTTGTGGTTGTTTCCAAAATTAGATGAAATACAATGTGCTTTCATTTCATTCTTACTCTGTAAAACAGGACCTTAACTACTAATTAGATCCTGTTGCAGGGGGAATAGGAGTGAATATGTAGACATCCTATCCTTACCTTCCTCTCATCTCAACCAGGATTAGACATCTCACTCTGCAAATCTTAAAAGTTCAGATGACTGAAATTTCACTGGTCTGAGATAGAATATGGTGGCTCTACATTTCCTGCAGAACTGGTCCAAATCAACTAATGAGGTATAACTCTCAGAATTATCTTTCTGTTGTAAGGGTAGCATGTCTCACACAAGGTTGGCCACATTTATGGGCACTTATTAACTCAGCCTTTCTCATCAAGTACATCAGTTTCTATCATCTGCTCTTCACCATTTAGAAGATCTAGCCCTCCATCCAGGGGGAGCTCTAATCCTAACCCTGACGGAGACGTTCTCTCAACATATGATTTCTCAGCCACGGATTTTGCTATCTTTACAGAGTGGGCCAGACAACCTGAAACTTTCAGCATTCTGAGCTGTGTTCAGTATATTCAATATCCCACCCAAACCATGGCCACTGGCTGTACATTTTCTCAGTAAGTTTGGGAAATAGTGCTGTAATCACGGGCCTTTACTGCCTTTCATTGTTGATTACACAACCTCTAGCCACCCTGGGCACCTGGCATATGGAAACAACCCCAAACCGAACACTAACTGCTTAAATGTATAAAAATGAATTGTAGACATTTTAACGTCAGCATATCTACTCTAGATTCGGATATGCCAACTAAATGTTAAACTTTAGATTTCAAAGTCTGGATTTGAATCCAGTACCAGTAAATGCCCAGTGCACAGAAATGTCTTCGTCATTGTTTTTCCATGGATTTTCAGAAGTTTGTACTCTGCTCTGATAAACAGTATTTCATGGTTTATGATGACCCTGTTGATGGCAACTCTGTTATAAGTAACCTTATAAAAGTAGTCTCTCCATTCATGTCAGCCACAAATACTTAGTCATCTTATTGACAGGATCATCTTGAGCTATTACTTTTCAAAATTCAGTGATCATAAACTGGAATCACAATAATAGGACTTAGATGATGAAAATATAATCTTCATTTGGATAATAGTTTGAATGCATAAGCAGGTCATTTTCTCTAAGAGTATATCCTCAACCTCCCACCTGGTTCATGAATCATGCCATTCTCTGCTGTTTGCTTCAAGGACACATAAAGCAGAAATCAAAGGTGAGAGTGATCTGTTCATGGCTTTGAATCCAAAAGAGCAAACAAAACACGCATCCTAGAGAAAATCCTTGAGAGACCCCGAGATGAGTCAGAGCAAGGCTTTCCTACTCACGTAATGAAGCACAGACTGAATGGTCAGAAACCATTTTGGCAGGGGTCCTGCGCATGTGGCCAGACCCCAGAGGAGGAATGATACCATAGAACATGTAGGTGTAAGAGAGTGAGGGGGCAGAGGAGTCTCCCTGGGGTCCCTGTGCTCCCAGGAAGTTTCAGGGCAGCAGAAGAATTCTTAAGTGAGAAGAAATGACTGTGTCACATATATAGGCAGATGGGGATGTAGAAATTGTCACTTCCAAGCCAGTATGCATGGCAAAAGTAGAGTTATCTTGAGATGGGCACCTATGTCATTGTCATAGCAAAGAGACAGGGGGACTCAAGTTCCAATGACCAGATAAGGTCACAGCCATGGCTGCCTGGTCTGGAGGCAAACAGGAAGAGGTTGCTAGCTCCATCCAATAAGTATGTCCTAGAGACACTATGGAGGAATTATCAGTTATGGGGACATCAGGAATAAGAAGGAGACAGAACTTGAGAAACCTTGTCCATTGGGAGTCTGCCCTCAACTGCTATGTGTGTGTGTTGGGGGTTGGGTCCAGCCTGGGTCTGGGGGCAGCTTGGGTGGGGAAACAAACTAAACTAGACATCAGTGATTAAAATGCTGCCTTGCCCATCCCTCAGGTTGCCTGTGTATTCACCACAGAATGGACATTGTACCCCCGAGTGCTGGCAGCCACTGGGGCCATGTCAGGGCAGTACAGAGGCAGGATAGGAAAAAGTTGATGCACGTTTGTAGGCACTCACCTGTCTACCCTTGTCCTGTCTTTCCCTATCATCTGAGGTTATTGTGCGGGAAGAAAGCAGAACTTAGGTGCAGTATACTGGTTGCAAAAGTTGGGCAGGAAAAATAAAGGGACCCATGAAAGGGAGCAGTGGGAAGATGGGACGTATTGTGGTCTGAGCATCGGGGAGGACTTGTGAGAGGGAATGAGTCAGCTTGGGGTCTGAAGGGGGTATCTCTGGGCCAGTGAAAAGATAGGAGCAATGAATTCCAAATCACAGAAATGGAATATGTTTACACAGCTGATGTGGGAGCGAGCACTGAATGCTGGACATGAATCCTGAAGAATGGTCAGTAAATCAAGAAGAAATGGATGAATAGAGAACATAGGGGATAAACATCCTCTTTTATTCATCTCTAATTGTCTGGCCGCTTCAC